AAGTCAGCGAGTAGGCTGTGTGTCATATATATATATAGTTAAAGGAAACTTGACTGTAAGTCAGCAAGTAGGCTGTGTGTCATATATATATAGTTAAAGGAAACTTGACCATAAGTCAGCAAGTAGGCTGTGTGTCATATATATATATATATATATAGTTAAAGGAAACTTGACCATAAGTCAGCAAGTAGGCTGTGTGTTGAGCTATAAATAACCTATTAATTAGGAAACTCAGATTGCATGCTCGCAATATATTGAATAATTTCTTCTTTTCTTTCTTTTATAAATGAAGGATTTTCAACAATAGCCATGTAATGGAGAAAACAAACTTGTTGACCTTGTTGTAAATAAGGATATCTTTGAAGATTTCCTTTAATAGCTGCTTTTTCTATAACTCTATCAGATAACATCTAAAATTGTTAAAATTTTTATCACAATTATGAATAGACAAGGACCAGTTAACTTTGGCACTTTTGAGAAAACTTTTAAGCAATGGGAATTTAAGTTTTTTAAAATTATTAGAAAAAGAATCTGATTTTATTAAAATTTTTTTTAAAGTTTCATTTATATTTTAATTTTTACATTTATTGGCTAATTAAACATTCAATATCAACAAAAACAATCTGGTGTTTTTTAAATAAACTAATCATTCATTTCAAAGAAAATAATAAGCACAATATGAGTTTTTTTTTATTTCAATATTCTTTTTCCATTTCTCTATTTTTGTCAATTAAATCAATGGCATTCATTCATTTACTCAACAAAATGTTTAACAAAATCATTGTTAAAAAGCAATATCCATGTTTCTATTAACTGTTAAAGTCAATTCAATATCCGTTGGATAAAAGCTATAAAAATAAACAATTGCAGATGAATGTTCTTTCTTATAAAACAATGAATGTATTTTCATGTAAAAAAAAAAGGAAAGAAAAAGATCAAAATGATGGATGTATTTTCTTGTAAAAAAAAATAAAATTATACAATTTAACCAAACACCAAATGAATTTTCAACCATGATAAATAATACCAAGTAGGTTACTTTAAAAAAACCGAAATTTTTGTGAAACATCTTTGCAACTACAAAAAAACTTTTAGCTTCCAAAAGTAAATAAATATATAATGTGGAAAAACAACAACAGAGCTTCTACTTCTTTAATCATTGTATTTTTTATCCTAACCTTTTCACTTATAAGATCAAGCTCAGCTTTATATTTCTATCTTGAAGGAAATGATCCGAAATGTTTTAATGAAGAATTACCAAAAGACACACTTGTTGTAGGTTTGTTTAATTTATTTTGGACAGATGAGATAATGATTTTTTTTGTTGTCATTTTTATATATATATATATATATATATAATTTTCCTTTTAATTTTGTTAAAAGGCACTTATAAGGCAGAAGAATGGTCTGATGCACAGCAACAATATATTGAAAATACACAGCTTGGAATTCAAATAATTGTAGAGGTATTTATATATAATATGAATATTTATATTTAAGTATTTATCTATTCTTGTTTATTGAAAGGATGTGATAATTAATAAAATTTTTTAACAAAATTCAGGAATTACCTCATAATCATCGTATTGTAAATCAAAGAGGTGCAAATAGAGGCCGATTCACCTTTACCACAGCAGAATCAGGTGATCATGCCATATGTTTACAAACCAATTCAAGTAATTGGTTCTCTTCTTTACAAACGGTTTGTTAGAATTTCCTTACAAATTTTTATTTAGTTGGAAGAGGAGAAAAAAAGTGTGAAAAACTTATTTTTTTTGATTTTTCTTTTTTAAAAGAAATTACATTTAGATATGGTATTTGGTGACTCAATTAGCGATGAAAGTGATCAAGAACATTTTAGTGGTAAATAAATATAATTATTTGTAGCAAATTAAATATGTGCCTTGTAATAATTTGAATATCGTTATGATTATTATTATATAGATCTTGCACAAAGAGTCCATGATTTAAATAATCGTGTTGCAGATATTAGAAGAGAACAAAGTTATCAACGTGTAAGTATTATTTTTTTAAAAAAAAATGCATTTATCATTTGACCTTAATAATAAATGTATAAATATATTTTTAGGAGCGTGAAGCAGAATTTAGAGATCAATCTGAACTTACAAATTCACGTGTATTATATTGGACAATGATCCAATTAATTATTCTTGGAATGGCATGTTTA